GTGTGCCACGGCGGGGCCCGGCGGCGCGGGGTCACTCCGGCTGCCCCCGGCGCTTTGTCACAACACGGGAACAATAGTGGGACGTGGAGCTGTGTTTGGGCACCGTGTCCAGGGGCTCGGCCGTCTTGTTTTCCACCTTGCGGGGTCGCTGGGAAAAGCGTGACGCTCCCCCCGTGCCAACAAAAATAGGAGTCCCGGAGCGGGGAGGTGAGCGGGGGACACGGCGGTGGGTAAACACACTGCACGGCTGCTCCCATCCCTGTCACATGGGCATGTCCTTCTGGCCCTGGGCTGCTCTCCCCAGAGCCACAGTGGGGCTCTGCAGCTCTGATATTCCCCAGTATTCCCCAGGGAATACCGGGCTGTGGCCCCCCAGGGTGGCCCAGGGGATCCCCATCGGGCAACACTGGGAGCAGGGCAGGGTCCCTCTGGAGATGGTGGGAGCAGGGCAGAGTTATCCCAGGCAGGGTTTACCCCAGCATCCTCATGGAGGGAAGAGCTGGGAGCTGGTGGTGTGCACCCCAGGCCCCCACCCAGGGGGAATTTCACCCCCCTCATCCCCTGGAGGGAGGAAGCCAAGGGTGGGCTCAGCCACCAGCCCAGGCTCTGCCCCAAGGGCAGCTCAGCCGGGTGCCTCCCTCCTCATTTCCTCCAGGGGCCGATGGCAGCGATACTGCCCCGTATCACCCATATTTCATCTTCTCCAGGGTATTTTTAGCCCATTCCACCCTTGCTGGAGAGGCCCTTGGCAGAGAGCAGGCTCTGCCCTGGCCTGGCTCGGCCAGAGAAACTAAACAACAGCCCCAGCCACATTGTGTGCCTTTATCTGCAGCTCATTTCCACCTATTATGCAGCCACAAGAGGCTCCACGGCCTCTGCTGGGTTTATCTGCAGCACAGGGAGAGGGGCTGAGCTCTGCCTGGGGCCACCATGGGCCTGTGACACAACAGCCCTGTCAGAACCCTGAGCTGAGGCTGGGCTCAGGGGGGCAGGACACTACAGCAGGGACAGTTGTGCTTTCAGAGGATGAGTGACCCACTCTCCCCCCCGGTCCCATCACTCTCAGGACAGCATCCTTCCCCTGCCCTCAGCCCCAAACCTTCACCTGCCCTCCCAGAATCAGCTGGAGGCTTCAGGAAGCACAGTCACACCACACTTCACCTTTTCTCATTCATCCAACTTTATTCAACAAGATGCAACATCGAGTCTGCCAGAGGGAAAGGAAACAGCACTGAGGGCAGTGCCCACATCCTGCACTCGTGCCTGGGTCACACAGGACCTTCAGCCCTTTGGTCACAGCAGGACCATCCCCTCTCACAGCATCAGCGGGCTGGGGAATTTGGGGGACAGGTCCCATGGCAGCAGTTGGTTCTTCTATCCCCCCTGGCACCTCAGCCCACAGCAGGAGATGACTAGTGCAAAGTAATAAAACCCAGTGACCCTCCGAACCGGAAGGTGCTGGTCTGATTCCTCCCCATAACCCCAAGGGCTCCAAGGCACGTGGACAGGGCTCCCCAGATCCCCTGCGAACTGCACCTTTAAGACAGAAAGCTCTGTGCTCGGGCCAGCAGGTTAAAAATAACTTAAAGGCACACATCCCATGGGAAAGGGTCCAGGACCGGGAGGGCAGAGGGAACTCACACTCCTGGGTCACCCGTGGTGACCCTGCAGCCATCGGGATCTGCCGGTCACAACAGAGCTGCCACTGGATTAACCCCCCTGTGTCCCATGGGGAGGGGGCAGCTCTGGCAGCAAACCCTGGACAGACGCCAGGGTCACTGGAATGGGACGGGGCTGGTGGCCAGGATCTGTCAGCACTGCTCCAGCCCAGCTTCCCGTGTCTGTCCCAGGCTCAGCCTGCTCTGTGCAGAGGCTGGAGGGGAGCAGCTTCCCACGGCCACGCTCCCGGCTCTCATCCCGGCAGAGGCTCTGGGGTCCGGCCGAGCCGCAGCTCCCGATGGCCAGCAGCCTCCTGCTACAGCCCCAGGGACAGCCTGTTCCACGGGGTGGCTCCAGGGATTTCTCCCTTTCCCAGAGCGAGGCACACGGGACGCGGTGTCCTGGGGAACTTTCTGCAGTTTCCTTCCTTGTGGGGTCACTGGGGGAAACAGAAGAGAGCAGAGGCTGCGCTCAGCCCCGCTCCCGAGCATCCCGCCTCTGGAGGGGAGTGTGTCCGTAAGGCACAGCACCAGGCAGGAGGCAGCTGCCTGCCCACAGGCAGCACCTCTGCAGGCAGGTGGGATGGGGGAAGGTCCCCCTGCCAGCCAGGGCCAGCCTGGCACTACACATACTGCTTTTTGGAGGCCGAGCTCCCGGGTCGGCTGCACAGCTTCTCCTCCGGGGCGGAGGCTTCAGCAGCCCGGGGGGCGTAGGGGTCCGACAGGGGCCTGCTGCCGCTGCCCAGCGCCAGGCTCTCCTCGTTGTGGAAGTTGGCCCAGTTCTGCTCGCTGGAGAGCTTGTTGTAGGTCTGGTAGGATGGCACGTGGCTCTCGGCCATGGGCAGGAACGGGTAGTGCTTGGGTGTGTAGGGATCCGACACCACGTCCTGGGCAAAGACGTCCCGGCTCGGTACGACTGGCCCCGACACCTTCTTGATGTTGCTGAGCAGGTTCTTGCAGCAGAGGTGGAAGAGCTCCAGGAGGTTCAGGATTAAGGAGATCAGGCCCATCACCAGCATGAAGATGATGAAGATGCTCTTCTCGGTGGGGCGGGAGATGAAGCAATCCACCTGGTGGGGGCAGGGGTCCCTCTTGCACACGTAGCGGGGCACCATGGAGAAGCCGTACAGGTACCACTGGCCGACGAGGAAACCAGCCTCGAAGATGCTCTTGCAGATCACACTGGTGATGTAGGTCCACATCAGCGCCCCTCGGATCTTGAGCCGCCCGTCCTCTGTCACGTAGATCTTGGACATCTTCTTCTCCACGGCTGCCAGGGCCTGCTCGATCTTCGGGTCCTTGCTGTGGACAGCCCGAAGCTCACTCTGCTGCTGCTTCAGCTTCTCCTCCCTCCGGGACAGATAGATAACGTGGCCCAGGTAAATCAGGGTTGGGGTGCTGACAAAGAGGAACTGGAGCACCCAGTAGCGGATGTGGGAGATGGGGAAGGCTTTGTCGTAGCAGACGTTGGTGCAGCCCGGCTGCTTGGTGTTACACACGAAATCCGACTGCTCGTCCCCCCACACGGACTCCCCGGCCAGGCCCAGGATGAGGATGCGGAAGATGAAGAGCACGGTGAGCCAGATCTTCCCGATCACGGTCGAGTGCTCCTGGACTTGGTCCAGCAGTTTCTCCAGGAAATCCCAGTCACCCATCTTCTAGGGAGCCTGTGCCTCTGCCAGCAGAGAGGGAGAGCAGGCACATCAATTCCCTCTTTCCATGCTGAGGAGCACAGGGCAGGTAGGGCCACCTAAGCCTCGTGATTTTTTGGGATACAGCTGCTCTGCAGAGTGTCCCAGCAAACCCACTGAGGGACATCCCACACGTGAGGGAAGCACCCAGGCTTTCTGAGACCTGGAGGGCTCCTTCTACTTACGCCTGCCCAGTGCAGGAACACGGGGCAGGGGGAGAAGAGGCAGCACAGAGATTCACCTGCCCCAGCAGCACCCAGCCCAGAGCACCCACAGCTCATGGCTGTGGGATGCTGGACCCCCAGCACTCTTCCCTCGCCCAGGGGACCCCTAGCACCCCTCACCGACCTCCTGCTGCTGTGGGGACCCCTTGGAGCCCAGCCCACACCCCGCGGGTGCTCAGCCCCGCAGCCCGGCTGGGAAGGAGCGAGAGGGTGGCTGCAGCCCCGGCTCCTTATTAACCGCTGCTAATTAAGCGCAGAAGCGCCGGCTGTGCCGTTAAAGGCACCCCGGCAGCGGCGGGGCGAGGGGGTGCTCGCGGTGGGGGTGTCCCGTCCCCAGCACGGTGTCCCTGAGCGGCGCCGGGGTCCCGGGGGTCCCGGGGGTCCCGGCGGTCCCCACTCACCTCCGCTGCGCCGGGAACGTCCCGCCGGGCTCGGGCCGCGCTGAGTGTGAGGGGTCGGGCCGGGATCTGCGGCGGCTCCGGTCGTGCGGGGCCCGGGGGAGGAGCGCGGCAGGAAACCGGGGGGCCGGGGCTTAGTGCCGGGCCGGGCCGCAGGTGTGCGGGGCCGCCCCTTCCCACCGCCCCCCGACGAGGGGGCGGCCCCGGCGGGCGGGGCGGGGGCAGCGGGACCCCCAGAGACGGCCGGGACCCGTCGGGGCCGAAGCCGGCGGGGGACAGTGGGAAATCCGGCTGTTCCCGCCCGCTCGTCCCCGGCTGCGGCTCCGCCACCGGGCAAACCCGCTGAGCGGGGCGGGGACCCCGGGGATGCTCCGTCCGCTGCCCCGTGTCTCCGGGATGCTCCGTCCCCTGCCCGACAGCGTGTCCCGGGAATGCCCCGTCCCCCGCCCAGCGTCCTGGGGATGTCCCGTCCCCTGCCCGGCGGGGTGTCCCCGGGATGCTCCGTCCCCCGCCCAGTGTCCGTGTCCGGGGATGTTCCGTCCCTGCCCGCTCGTGGTTGCCCCCGCGGGTCCGTGCGGCGCGGCGGGCGCTGGGTGGTGCTGGAGCCCCACCGGAGCGCGGCCCCGGTCCCGCATCCCGCCGGCTCCCGGGATGAGCCCCACCGGAGCCCTGCCCGGGACCTGCCCGCGAGTTTCAGACGGAGCTTTGCTGCCGGGGGTCTCGGCACACACCACAACACGCTCGTGGGGCTGCGGAGTGCGGGCGGGCCGAGCGGAGCTGGGAACAGCGGACCCTCCGCTAGCGCTGCTTATGGAGAGATTAAATGGAAATAATTTCTATTTATTATAATATTTATCAAGGTTTAGTAAATAATTGATGCTGATCCTTCCTTGATTTCCTTGGGGGCCAGCGTGCGGTTCTGCTGAGTTAAGGTTTAACGACGCGTGACAAGCCGGGAGAGGCGGAGCGGGAGGAGTGAGCCCGACCCGGGGCTCGACTGCCCTGCCCGGCTCGGGCGGATGAGGAGCACCCGGCTGCGGGCTCCTGGGGAACCTCTGCAAATCCATGTCATCTGCCCTCACCAGTCCCCCCGATTTCCAGCGGACAGAGCAGATTCCAGTGTCTCCAAGCAATGTTTTATTGGATCCGTAGCTTGTGCCATATGTGACGTGTCCGTCCGAGGTGAGTGGGACACAGAGGCACCAAGGGAAGCAGCAGAGACAGCAGTGGCATTTGGGCAAGATGTGGCACGGCGCTCGTGTGAGCCAAGGGGGAGAAGCTGCCCTGCCCCAATACTGTCAAACTGGGCAAACTGGGCCGAGAGAACAGTTGGCAACAGCCTGGAGCTCTGCTCCTCTGTCATTGCTTCAGGTGCATGAAGAGAGCTCCTGCTGTGGTGCCGAGCCCAAAATCCCTTTGGGTTTTTTGGTACAAAATACAGGAGGATGAAACAGTGCTTGGGACTGTGCACTTGTGAGGCACAGCAAGCTGGGACTGCCACCATGCTGGGTGACACCAGCTCTGGTTGGGCACCAGTGAGTGCACTCACACCCACCATGGGAGCAGCAGAGCTGGAGGACCTGAGGAGATATGGGAGGATCTGTGTGTCGTTGTGATGTCCAAGCTTGTGGCACTACTCTGTGCATCTGGCAGAGCTCCAGGGCTGCCCTCGCCTTACCTGCGTCTGCTCAAGCACCCATGGGTCTCTCTCCAGGGATGTTAGTTTGTTGGGTTTAGTCATTTTTCACACAGGTTGGCTCTTGAGGGTTCAGGGGTGGCTGGAAAAGCTGCTGGACCAAGGGGAATGTGAACCAGCTGGGACGGGCGAGCTCACAGCTCCTCTCCTCTGTGGGAAGAACAGACACCCTCAGGCATGCCCACAGGCAGCCAGCACCCACCTGCCACCACGCCACTGGGGCACCTGGGGATGTGCCCACGGTCCCAGGCAGGAGAGTTCCCATGGATGTGTCCCCCTCCCCTCACAGCCACCGAGGTCCTGGCTGAAGAGTCCGGCGGTGACATCACTGGTGGTCATGTCTGGTACCAACCATCCCTGGCACATGCCAGGACACTTTCTCCCTCCACCCTCCCCTCCCAGCACCCTTCAGACAGCAGTCAGGGCTGTCACACACCTAGTCTGGGACTTGTTGTCCTTCTCCTCCGACTTGAGGTGGCAGTGGCAGGTGGAGGCCTTGCTGTAGCTGACGGAGCGCTTGGTGGATTTCTTCCACTTCCGTGCACCGCGGACAACTCGCTTGAAGATGAGGTAGAAGATCTCACAGACGGTGAGGATGATGCAGATGGAGGAGGCTCCGACCATGAAATAGGTGAAGACCCTTTTCTCGGTGGGGCGAGCGATGTAGCAGTCCACGGTGTTGGGGCAGGGATCCACGTTGGTGCACTTGACCAGCCGTGGCAAGTCGAAGCTGTCCCACATCTTGTGGAGGAGGTAGAGGAACAGGATCTCTATGATAAGCTTGAAGAAGAGGCTGAGCAGGTAGGTCCACCACAGCCCACCGTGCTTCTTGCCCGTGTTGCTGTAGAGCTTGGGGCAATTCTCCCCGTTCTTCTCCCGGTTCTTCTTCTCGCGGTCCTCCCGGTAGGCCACGTGCATGATGACCAGGAGGGAGGGACAAGTGACAAAGATGAGCTGCAGGGCCCAGAGGCGGATGTGGGAGATGGGGAAGAAGTAGTCATAGCAGACGTTGGTGCAGCCCGGTTGTCGCGTGTTGCAGTCAAAGTCCTTCTGCTCGTCGCCCCACACGCGCTCGGCCGCCACCACGTAGACCAGGACGCGGAAGACGAAGACCACGGAGAGCCAGATGCGGCCGAAGGCTGTGGAGTACTTGTTGACCCCGCTGAGCAGTGCCTGCAGTGTTTTCCAATCCATGGTGGCCGGTGGAGACCAAAGTCACCCGACCTGGAGAGGCGGCAGGAGCGGAGGGTGAGGAGCAACGGGAGGTGTGTGTCCCTCACTGCACTAAATCCCACTGACCTCTGGGCTCCCCCACCACCCTGCACTCATGTGGGGTGGGGGACCATCACCCTTGCACACAGTAACACCCGTCCCCACACTCTCCTGGTGACAGAGGTGACTCAACCTCTCAGCACTTCCTTCTGACAGAGCCTCTGCCCCAGGGGATGAGCCACCTGGCCAAATCCCCACCACCAACCCCCCGCCTGACTGCGTGTGTTGGTGCAAACCGGCAGCAGGATCTGCTGGAGTGAGCCAGGATCAACAGCCGAAGGGGAAGTGGCTGCTGCAATGCTGGGCTGCTGGGACACGCCAGGGACCGGTTTTTCTGTCTCACAGGTGATGCCCGAGGCAGCCCAAGCACAGGTGAGAGCGGGGCTGCAGAAAGGGACAGTCTGTGTGTGTCACCCTGGCTGGGGCTCCGCTCCTGCTCCCACTCCTGCCCCCCCGGCAGCAACACCAGAGGCCCCGACGGCCAAAGCAGCTCCACAGCTCAGCCTGGGGCTGCCCCACACGAGGAGGGTGGCACACTAAACCCAACCCAGAGCTTTACTGCACCTGGATTTACAAACCCGGGTGGGTTTTATAACCCTCTGTGCTGTGAAGGTGCCTGCCCTGACAAAGGGACTGCAGCTGGGTCCTTCCCACTTTTAAGGAGCTGCCGCTGCCCGTGGCCAACCTGGTGCCCTCCGAGACATACCTGGAGGAGGCTCAGGCTCCTTCCCTGCTCACAGGGAGTTGTGGGGTGGGAAGTGCCCAGCACAGGGCATGGTGGGGGTGCGATGGCACTCTGCTGATCAGGGTCCCCTCATCCGGGGGGGGCTGCACAGTGCAGTGTCCTGGGGCTGCAGGGAAGGAACAGAGCCTGGAGCACTGCCCGGAGCCCACAGGGCTGCCCGGGAGCCCAGCCTTGGCCAGAGCCACCCTGCAGTGAGCCCCAAACCCACCGCTCTGCTCCCACACTGCTCCCACACAGGGACACCTCGGCAAGCAGCTGAGCCAAGTGGGGCCAAGCTGAGGTCCTGTGCCACCAAGTGCCAGGGCAGTGCCTCTGCCCATGCCCACCTTCATTCACCACCCTGCTGAAAACAGATCATCCTCCCTGGCAAACCAGTGAGCCGGGGTGGGGAACAACCACAGCATTCCCACCCAGCCCTTGGAACCAGCTCCTTTGAACTCAGGAGAGGGGAGCTGCTGCTTTCCTCCCAAACACTGGTGCTGGTGGCTGAACCCGGAGTCCCTGCACACCCCCAGGGCCCATGCCTCCCCCACCAGCCTGCCAATTCACCCATGCCCCCACCCCAGTGCCCTGCCAGCACCCACCTGCCCGGCTCAGCCCAGTGCCAGCTCCAGCCATGGATCCGCAGCAGGGTGGGAAGGGGATGTGACCCCCATGCCAAGCTCCGTGCTGAGCCCCGTGTCAGTCCCTGTGCTCTGGGAGCCCCGCAGCTCCCCCCGGTGCTGGCTGGGTGCCAGGCAGGGCAGGGGCAGCGCTCAGGTGTGCTCAGCTCTGCCGGCAGAGCCCGTGTGCTCCCGCAGAGCTCAGCACCCTCGCCAGCCAGCCCCCGGAATGCCAGCCTGCTGCGTCACCGCCGCGTCCTGCCCCGCGTGGGCACAGGGCGTTGGACCCGAAAGTGCCCGGCTCCCACCTCTGTGGGGTGCAAACGCAGCAGAGCCACTGTCTCTGGGGGGCTCAGTCCACGAGGAGGGTGGTGGGACAGAGGAGCAAGGCCTGGGGTGGCCATTCCTGCTCCCGGGGGGTGCCAGGCTGTGCCATCCCCCTGTGTCACCCCCCAGGGACAGGGTCCCTGGCACAGCCTGGGGGGTCCTGTCGTGGCACTGTGTGATGTTGAGGTCCCCACTTTTGGCCCCTGCAGACCCAACAGTCCCAGCCATAACCCAACTCCCACCTGCACCCCGTCACACCAAACACGGCTCCCACTGTGCCATGTTGCACTGCAGGGTCTGTCCCCCATGGCCGGAGGTCCCCAGCAGCCCCCCAGCACCCTGTGCCCCCCAGCACCGTGTGCCCCCCAGCACCCTGCCCCTGGAGGTACCTGTCCAGCAGGGAAGGAGCCACAGGAAGGTTTCCAGATCCAGGCAGCTCTCGGAGTAGGGAAGCTCCTTCCCAGCCACAGCCCTCCTGCACACCCAGGGCTTGTCTGTGGAGCTGAGTGTGTGTGGGGAGGGGAAGGGTGGTTGGTTCAGTTCCCAGTAACTGGGTGAGTCTGGCAAACAGCTCCTGGAGAGGTTCTTGCCTGTGCACATGCACACACACGCTCGGGGTTGAACAACAAAGGACATCGATGGGGCCGGATTCCTCCACGTGCAACACCAGCAGCTCCTGCCAGGTGATGCCCTGACCCCCACCAGGGTGGTCTGGGCACTGCAGACTCAGCAGCAGGACCGGGGTGACAGGGATGGACACTGGCCTTGCACCGGCCCCCAGCTGTGGGGCCACCAGCACCAGTTGCTAAAAACCACAGATGACTCAACTCCTGAAATGATTTTGCCGTAGTAAGAGTTTTGCAACAGTTCCCTGGTATCTCCAACCAACAGGAACTTGCAGCCGCTGCCCTGGCAGGGCTGGGATGGTCTGATGGGACCTTCCCCAACCAGCAGGATGGCAGCAGGGTCCCCATGCAGCGGGACCCTGCCCTGCTGCTCCCTCCAGCCGCACCCCCGTGGGACCTGGAATGTGTCCCCGAGGGGGATGTCCCTCTCCCCGAGCACTGGTGGCTCCCAGGAGGCTGAGCAGCCGGATGCCCCATGGAGCAGCCCCATTTGAGGTCTTTGCCAACACAGCTTGGCAGGAATGTGCCTCCCCTTGCCTTCGGTTCACCTGGTCTTTAAAGTGCCCTGAGGCTTTTCCGGCATCCTCTGGCACACCCTGGAGACAAGTGGCAAGGGAGCCTCACGGGAGCCTTGCCAGGGCCACCCCTCCCATGGGACACATCTGAAGAGCCCCTGGGTGCTTGGTGCCCAAGAGGTTTGCTCCCTGCTCTCCTGGTGGACAAGGAGCCACTTGCCCAGAGGTTTCTTGGCTCCAGGAGGTCAAATAAAGCAAGTGAGCGTTTGCCCAGCTGGGGACACACAGGAATGGGAGCCCAGGAGATGCCTGGGGTGCAGAGTGGGGTGAGCCCAGAGGAGGGGGCAGGCACAGGAACCCCCATCCTGGACAAGAGCAAAGTGGGAGCTCCCTCAGCCAGGAACTGCCATCCTATCGGTAGGATCGGGAATTTGAGCTATGTTGTTGCAGAGAGCTTGTCAGGAATCTGGGGGCTGTGACCCTCGAGCTGATAAACCCAGGAGAGAGGGAAGTTGTTGAGAACCACTGGCAGCTCTGATTTCTTGTGCAGGCAGCAGCTCCCTGCCCTGCGGCCAAACCCTGTAAGAGCAGGGCCAGACCCCCCCTTGGGCAGTCTCTTGCCTGCAATTTTGGAATGTCAGGAGTGGCCACGTGGCCATGGTGAGAAAGTTCAGGTGCTTTTGGCCTGGGCAGATTTCCCTGAGGCAGTTGGGTGGGGAGCAGAAACACCCCGTGCTTTGCAGTGTTTTGCAGTGCTGAGCTGGGTGTTTGCCAGCAAAGGGCACATCCCTGTGCCCCCTCCACCACCCCTCTGCCAACTGGTCGAGTGTGGGCACAGGGACAAGGTGCCAGCATGGTTCAGCAGCTCTCAGCACGTGAGAGCTTCAGGTATGTGCCCCAGGTATGTCACCACGTTGCCACCCTGCTCCAGCTGAGCGGGGTGATGGGTGAAAGGCTTCAGTGCCAGATGTGAACACTGAAACACCCAGTGACCTCCAGAGGCCTCACCTTGGATCCTCCCCAAAGGAAAAACCCAAGCAGAGGAGCAGGTGGCCACTGCACCGGCAGAAAAACCTCCAAGTCTCTTTTAAAGAGTCTTAAATGGGGTGTCACAGGAGGTTGGACTCAGGCCTTTTATTTCAGCTTCCTGCCTGCCAACAGCATCCCAGCTGTCCTGCTCCAGGGCCACGTCCCCAGGGATGAGACTCCCCCATGAGCACAGGGTACAGGAGTCACGGGGTCCTGGGAGCAGCCACTGGCTCCAGCACACTGGACATAAATCAGTTTCTCCTCAATTCCCAGCAAAGAGGAGGGGTTTGGCCAGGGAAGAAACAAGCCCAAGCTGGGAAGGCCAGGCTACCCCTGACCTGCACACACAGTCCTCTCCACATCCCTGCCTGGGTTGGAGTTACTGGTGGGTTTCTTTCAAATCCCCTCTCCCCTGGATTCAGGGGCTCTTCTGGGACCCCACAAGAACATACAGGGGGAATCCCTGTGTGATGATGCAAAGTCTAGAAAATAGTCAGCTTTTATTTTGACACCTCCCAGTTTATTTGCTTTGCTGACACTGGTCCTGCCTCTGTATCCCAGGACATGTCCCAGCTCCCAGAGCCCCGTTTCTGCAGCAACGACCGGGGCAACTCGAGGGGAAACACATCAGAAAGAACCAGCCAAACACTCCCGTTTGTGAGGCTGCTCAGGGCTGATCCCAAGCCCGGGTGGTGCAAGACACCCCGAGCTCTGTGGAGCAGCTGCAATGTCTGCCCTGAGCACCACAGAACTGCACAACAACACCCAGCAACTGGATCTTCAGGTCTCTCGCAACGGGGCAGCAGCTCCAGCTCTGCTTTGATGTGGGGAAGTGGGACAGGGAGGTTCTCCTGGGGCTCATCTTCTGCCCCATTAGTGCCTGCACGAGGAACACCTCGGGGTTTCACCCACGGGACAGCCCGGAGCAGGAGCGGCCAATCTTGCTGGAAAACAAACAGCCCAGCCCATGCTCTTTAAATCGGGACAACGGCTCACACACAAAGAACAACTTTGTGTTCTCTCTGGCGTGAGAGGCCTCAGGAAAGAAAACTTTTGGGTGCCTGATCCAGCAATGGGAGCGCACGAGAGGGAGGCAGATACCAAGCACAGCTTCACATAGAAGGAGGTGGGAAAAAAACCTACCTGTGTTCTACCATCTGCCTCTCACCTCAAAGGTTTCCAGCCTCGGTGGTGTCAGCACAAGGAGCTGCTGTGTGCCCAGAGGGTTCTGGGCTGATGGCTGGGATGCCCCCAGGGCTTCTCCACCATCCTCACCCTTATGGGGTGGCTGGTTCAGGCCCTACCCTCCCATCCAGCAGTGCTGCAGCCCTGCCTGCCCTTGGCATCCCCCCAGCCCTGCCTGCCCTCAGCATCCCCCTGGCCACAGCAGTCCCTCTGCCTCCCCCTCCAGCACATCCAGCTGGTCCTTTCCCCAGGGTGGGTTGTGGGAAGGGGCTCAGCTTTGCCCAAGTGGGAGCTGGTTCGTTGGAGCAGCAGTAGCTGCAATGAACTGTCACCAAGAACGGCCCTGATCCTAAAGGACACAGGGATGTGTCCCCTCGCTCCCTGTGCTGCTTCCTTTGGGGCAGAGCCAGCGAGTGCTGTCACTGCTCATGGAAAAAATAATAATCACACCCTCTAAATAAAGAGAAACCAGTAACAGATTGAGCTACATGTTCGATGTTAATGTTACTTACGAGTGCATTTGCCATGAAATTGTTGTGAATTATTCATCCCAGCTAATGCTTGGTGATGGCCTCCAAAAGGACAGTGCCGCTCACGTCACGGCCCAGCGCGACACATTACAGCAATAACTGAGATCAGATTCTGCCATTTAATGTTACTGTTTAATCAATGGTTGGGGTGGTTTTCCTCTCCTGTACTCAGCTGTTTTGCTGGGGTGTTGTCCTCTGGCCAGGCAGGATGATCCAGCAGCCCACGGCGGGCGCTGCCTGCCCGGCCGGATCCTCACGCCTGCGCTTCCCCGCGGTGGCTGCGGCACCAGGGACCTGCTCTTGTCCCCACTCGGCTAATGAGTGTTATTAATGACAGTTGCATCAGTCTGAGATGGCCCTGGCACCCACACTGTGGTTGATTTAGGCTGAGGGATAGGGAGATGGGTTCCTTGGGGGATCAGGGTGTCTGTCCAGCTCAAAGTCTGGGCACTGCTGCCAGTTCACAGCTGCCACGGAGCTGCTGGTCCCTGTGGCTCTCGGGCACTGCACGTGTCCTACAGCATGTGGTTTACCCCAAATTCAGCAGGACGATGTCATGTGTCTTCCCCAGAACAGGAGAAGCTGAGACTCCTCAGGCACAGCCCAAGTCCAGGGCGCTGCCCCCACCAGCGCTCCTGCGCCGGGGGACGGAGGAGGAAGAGGGGGATGAAGGTGCCCGGCAGGTGAGAGGCTCCCACTTTCTCCTGGGCAGCCCTAGGAAAGAGCCTCCTCCTCGGACGCCGTGCTGGGGCAGGACGCCGTGGGTGGGATGGTGGCCGTGGGGGGTTTGTAGTCCGCCCCATGGAAAACCTGTCCCGCCGTGCCCACGGGCTCGGCGCCGGGCAGGGGGCAGTCCTGGCTGTGCCGCCGGCTCTGCCCACCACCAGCCTGCAGGCACTCCCGGCACCGCTTGCCGATCAGGTAGGCGGCCTCGGTGAGGCTCAGCACGACGCAGACGCAGGCGGTGACCACCATGAAGAGGGTGAAGATGTTCTTCTCGGTGGGCCGGGAGATGAAGCAGTCCACCACGTTGGGGCAGGGGGGCAGCTCGCACTTCACCAGCCGGGGCAGGGTGTAGTTCCTGTAGAGGCGGTAGAAGATGTAGAGGAAGACCACGTCCACGCCGGCCTTGAAGATGAGGCTGAGCAGGTACGTCCACCACAGCCCGCCCCGCTTCTTGCCGGGGTCGGTGAAGAGGCGGCGGTGGCAGCCGTCCCCGCCGGCCTCCCGCAGCCTCTGCGCCTTGGCCTCCCGGTAGGCCACGTGCATGATGACCAGGAGGGACGGACACGTCACCAGGATGAGCTGCAGGGCCCAGAGGCGGATGTGGGACACGGGGAAGAAGTGGTCGAAGCAGACGTTGGTGCAGCCCGGCTGCAGAGTGTTGCAGTCAAAGTCCTTGTGGTCGTCGCTCCAGACCCGCTCGGCCGCCACCACGTAGACCAGCAGGCGGAAGATGAAGACGAGGGAGAGCCAGATGCGGCCGAAGGCTGTGGAGTACTTGTTGACCCCGCTGAGGAGCCCCTCGAACGCGCTCCAGTTCATGGCTCCCCGATCCCGTTAGCTGGCCTGGGAAGAGGGAAGACACTGTGTCACCAGGGAGCAGCGAGAGGCCCCCACTGGAGCCCCCGTGTGCCCCAAGGCACAGCTCTTGGGACCCTCTCTGGCCCACGATCACATGCAGGGACCCCACCAACACGTGCCCCAGCACAGACTTGGTCCAGGTGATGTGTCTCCACTGAGCACCTTCCCCCACTTTGGAGACAGGAGGACCTGGCAAAGCCTGGGGTTCTGCTGCAGCCACGGCATCCTCCAGCCACCACCAGCTCCAGCCCACGGCTCAGCCCCCATCCTGCACCGCCCGTCCCAGCTCCTGCCTCGTTGCCCAGGTATTTGTTATTAATTTTCCTTACGTTGCCAGGCCTGGCCCGGGCGGACAACAACGAGGAGCAGGCGGGCCGTGACTCACCCGGCCACGTCCTCTCCCACCGCTGGAATCTGCCGGTGCCTCTGCCCTCCCAGCCCTGCACCGACTGCACCCCGTGTCAGAGCAGAGGCACTGGGTGGGCTGGGGGGCTGCACGGCCCCTGCAATGCCGAGGAGCTGACCCAGGGCTGGGTGGCCACCAGTGCTCACCAGCCCCAGCCCCTGCGTGGCTGATCTGAGCCTGGTCTGGGCCGTGCTGGAGGAACACACCCCGAGCGCCGAGCGGGGCCCCTGGAGCTGCATTTGGCACCGACTCTCCTTAAATATTTCATTATCAGGAAAATAACAATCAGATTCCCCCTCACCGAGGGGCTCTCAGGGGTGAACACATCCCCTGCTCTTTGCAGCCCGGCCCAGCCCGTGCTCCTGCTCACACAGACGTCCCTGTGCACGTCCCCGCTGTGGGAGCCGGTGGGTCCCGTCTCTCCGGGTGGATCCCTGGGGACACACACAAAGCCTCGATTCCTCCTCCTCCGTGCACGCTTCCGGCAGCAGCGCAGGATGTGCCCATCACCCCGGGGTCGGGGGGGCAGATGCACTCCCCCAGCCCCAGCCCCACGTCCCCGGGGCAGAGCAGGGTCCCCACACCACTCACCCGAGGTGTCCCTCGCCGAGGCCGGCGCTGCTGCAGGTCGGTGCTTGCTCTTGGCAGGAACGCATCGCCTGTGCAAGAGGCACCACATGAGTCATTCCCGGGCTCCTGGGAGCGAGGAGGAGATTCCCAGGGGGAAGGGATGAGGCTCCAGGCAGATCCCCACGTGTCCCATAAGCTGCCCGATTTCCCGAGGCGAAGGGCGGCCCCACAGTGTGCGGGGCCTGACCCTGGTGCTGTGCAGGGAAGGGCTGTCTGCTCTCAGATGCTGCAGGGATGTTGGGGTGCCCAGTACAACCTGGGGTCCCTCCATCCCTTCCCTGCACCCATCAGCCCTTGCTCCAACACGGCCAAAGCCCGGGGAGCCCCTGCCCATGGCACCAGGAGCTGCTCAGTTGAACACCTCCCTTTGTAATCCTTTCTTTACTCAAACTTTGCACCATGGCAATACTTTAGGAGGGCCTTTATCCCTCCCCACCCTCTGACAAGTGGGTGGTAGCTGATTATTTTACTGGGAATTAATAAACTGCTTATCTATGCTCCCCTCGTCTGCAAGCTGGCACAAGCCTCTTCCCCATCACCCCTCCTTGATGCCAGAGCATGGAGCCCTCCCAAGATGAGCCCCCAGCTCAGAGAACCCCCTCTTTGAGGTCTGGTCCCTGTCTCACGGCTCTGGGGCACAGGGATGGGGGTCAGAGGGGTGGGGGTCCAAGGAGCAGGTGTGGTTCCAAGGAGAAGGTGTGGGGTGCAGGAGTTCAGGTGCTGCCGGAGTCATTTGAGGAGCAAAAACGCGTTTCATTTGCAATTCTGCTGGGGTTTAAAAAAAAAAAAAAAAAACCGCAGAGAAACAAATCTAAACAGCTGTAAAGTAAATTACCAGTGTTTGCGGATGGCTCCAGGGAAGAGTTCTGCAGTTTGAAATCAAACAAGCCCGTTTTTATTTTTTTTTAACATGCCTGTGTAGTGGCTGTGCCGTGAAGGGAGTTCCCAGGGGCTGTGTCCCCCACGGGCAAGCAGGGAGGGCCCAGAGCAGCCCCCACCCAGCAGCACCCAGCAGTGTGGGGGGGGATGTTCTGCCCCACGTGCCCCTAATTTTATGGGTGTCTGCAGTGGCTCTTGTGGCTTTCTGGGTTAAAATCCCCTCTTTTGGGGAGCTGCCAGGTGAGATGGGCATTTTCTGCTCCAGGTAGAGCCCCTCCACCCCTCCACAGGTGAGTCCCCGGTGCTGGGGACACGGAGGTGTATTAATGGCAGCACTTTATCTTCCAGGAACAAGCCCTATTAGTACATTTTCACTACAACATGAAATATTAATAACACTTTGCATTTATATAGCGTCATTCATCCCGCAGTCACCAGCCAAGCTGCTGACATGAATCAAACAGCACAGCCAGCTCTGGAGGAGGCAGCAGGTAAACGGGACCAGACACATTTTCCCGCTACACAGGGTTTTCTCCAGCTCACTGATGCTCCTGAGGATGTTTTGGGGGACAAAGCCAGGGGCTGCTCCCGAGAGGCACTGGCTGGTGCTGGGCTTCCACCTCCTCCAGCTGCTGCAACTGGAATTTGCTGTTCCTGCTCCTGTGCTGACAGTGCAGGGAGGGGAGTTAGGAAACCTGTCAGCCCACGGAGAGCCAGGCCCCGACACGACCCGAGGGCTCTGGCAGCATGAAAGAGCAGAAAGGAAGGGCTGTTTTCATCTTGTTTAAGAGCCTGGTGTTTAAAGCCTCCTCCAGCTCCGGAGCACACGGAGACTGCGAAGGCTTTTCCACACCAGCTCAGCAGGAATCGCTGCTGCTGCCGGAGATGCTGCACGCAGATGCTGCTTGGCAGGGCGGGACCCCACTACTGACGCTGGATCCAGACACACAAACAGGTCCTGGGTGAAGTTCTGGAGCGGGGTGAGCGGCAGGGAAGGGCTGTTGGCACAGCCCCGCCACCCGCTGCTCCCGTCTCCAGCACCCTGGTTATTCCGAGAGGAAGGCACCTTGTTTGTTTGCTGATAACTAAGAGAACCCAAACAGATTAGTGAAAATTAAACACACAGAGCAGGCTGGATGTTGGCTCAGCCGCTGGGAGAGTGGTGTGAGCACTCCTGGATGTTGGGGTCAAACCGGCTCTGCCGTGCCCGGCTCAGCCCTGGTACCCCCCTTCTCCAGCCCTGTGGCTGCCCACCGTGCTGCCAGCTGCACTCCCCATCCCACGGGATTGTTTAGAAGCTTTTCCACGGAAAATCCATGTTCGTGGCCTGTCTGGATGAGAGCAGGTAAACCCTGCCTGACCCAGCACCCATTAATCATGGATTTATACGTGAGGCTGCAGGGAGTAACCTCATTCCTAGGGAGACCTTAATTAATCACACACTCAAACTGCCTCGATGAGGTGGTTTGCTTACCGAGGAGATACATTCACGTGGTCAGCGGTGGCTGGGGATGGAGATGAGGTTCTCGGGGACCCAAATCATGGCAGCTGATGGTGGGGAGCAGAGCAAGGGCCAGGGCTGAGAAACCTTTCTCTGCACTGGGAGCAGATGAGTGGGGCACAGGGGGGAGATGCTGCTGTGGCACTTTGCCCCTAAAAAGGTTGAAATAAGAGTGTCTCAGCCTGTGCAGACCCTGCCCCTGCAATGGAGGCAAAGGAAGAAAGGAAGAACTCCTTTAGCTGGAGGGGGCCGCGGGCAGTCACACAGTCCCAAAACTCGGGGAGGGTTGGGGGACTTGGATGCTCTCCCAGTAGGAGCAGAGTCCAACCCAGCCCTCAGCCCTGCTGACTGCCGCTGATGGGCCCCTTAACGCCTGTTTTGGGTTGTTTGGCCAAATAATCACCGTGCAAATGACATCTCTGTCCTTCCCGCTGACCTTGGCAGCATCCGAATGGGCGACCCGCAGGTCAGAGTCTTTATATCCCATTACCAGTCTCCTGAGTCACGCCTGTCCCCCGGCAAGTTACATTATTTTGAGATGGCAGCTAAATGGGAAAGAGGTCGCGCTCCCAATACGGCGACAATAGGACATGACAGCACTTTTCTGAGTGATTAAGCCTCAGGTGATGCCGAGGCTACAAGACCGGTGGCTGAAGGCTGAAAGACTTTAATCACCCCGGAGGTGGCACTGCATCCTCACACTCCATCCTGCCGGGGTGGGCTTTTAGTGCGAAACGGGAGCGATAATAAAAATAATCCAGCCCAGCCTGCGCGTCCACTGGGTAGTTATTCGTGTTGCTGTTAATAATCAGCCCGGGCAGCCTGTTGGCCCTCAAAGAGCCTTCTGCAATAAATCAGCTCAGATGCCTTAAAATAACTGTCCGGGGCCGCCGGAGCAGACACTAGATGGCATTGGGGGAACGCGCTGAGAGGCACGGCCGCCTTCCCCGGAACAGTCTGGCAAAACAGAGCAGAAAACTCAGGATGACGGAGCAGAAAATGTCTCAGCCGGGGTGAGGCCACCATCCTCACACCCACCAGCTCACCTCCATCCCAAACCCACCAGCTCACCTCCATCCCAAACCCACCAGCTCACCTCCATCCCAAATCAACCAGCTCAGCTCCATCCCAAACCCACCAGCTCAGCTCCAGCCTCTCACCTGCCCCGTGAGTGGTGCTGGGGCAGAGTTCAGGGTGCTTCACCTCTTCTCTAATCTAGTGGAATAGTCTATCCCCAAACTATTGGGTTTTTCCCAGCGAGGAGCTGTCCTGGTGGCTCCCCAAAGCCTGGCTGCCCCCGTGTCCACCAGCACAGCCTTTTGGGGCCTGGCAGGTCCTCACCTGCCTGGGGCAGGTTCACCTGGGCACCTGCATGAGGGATGGTGAGGAGAAGTGGGGCTTTAAAGTGAGTTCAAAGCCAAACGCTGCCGCTGCCCCATCCATCCCCTGCTGACTGCAGTGTCCTCCCTTCACATGGAAAGCAAGGGTTTCCTCCTGCAGTCTGGGCACGTGCTGCCCACGCCTCGATCGACCCCTCCATCCACATCAGCCTGTGTGTCCACCTGTCCATCCACCCTCTGCATCTCACCCACGTCGGGGTGCATCTGTACCCCCGGGGCTGGTGCAGGCAGGCCCCTCCTGGGGACAGCCCTGGGGACATCATCCACGTGGCAGCAGAGCACACTCACCCTGCCAGCCCTGCAGCCCGGCTCGGAGCCAGCCACTCTTCGCAGGCGCCGGGATCAGTCGGGCTCTTTCCCATCACTCCAACCTCATTCCACCCATCAGAGCCAGTCTCTCCTTCCCCCAAATCACCTCCTGCACCCCACTGAGCCCAGCTGGCTTTGTCTCTTGCATTGTGCAAGAGCCACGATACAGCTCCTGACTGCAGCTCCCTCCCTCCATCCAGCCCCGGCCTCAGCACTGCTGGCAGCACATGGCACTGCCACAGCCACAGCCCACCCGCTCCTCCCCTCCCAGGGGGCCCCAAAAGCCTCCAGCCCTCTGGAAAACAGGGATTCGTGTCACTCTGGGCAGGGCAGAGCTCTTGGGGTGATGCTACAGGTTTTGGGGTGTGCGCCTGCCCCAGCTTACACCCATCCCGAGGGGCTGGGACTTTCCCTCCTCTGTTCTCCCATCCCAGGAAGGGTAACGCACAGCAGAGGCAAAACTCAAACACTGTCACAGGCACCTGAGCCAGAGAGTTCTGGTTTTTTGGGGGGATCTCTGCCCCAGCAGCCTGATGTTACAGAATTCTTCCAAAGACTAAAAACTTGCTCTCACCATAAGGAAAATACTACATTAAAACAACCCATCACCCCTCTTCGTTTGCCTGTGCCACTCCTGGGGACTCTGGGCAGCAGGACTGAACTCTGAAAAGGGCCCAGACTTGGCTCGGAGCAAGAGATTTCACATCATCATGTCTTAAAATGTCACCACTTTAATTAGCTCCATCTGAAGCTGGAGTGGATCTGTCTGGAAACCAGCAAGGAAACTGCTTCACCCCTCTCTGCTTTCAGTTCAGGCTGAGAAATTTGCTCAGGCTGACCTTTTCCCTCCCAGACCCAAAAAAGGTTCCCAATCCACGCTGGCATTTCCTAAAAATAGGACAAAATAGCCCCCCAAAAATACCAAGCAGTTGTAGGGATGATGTTGTGCTGCACCACGCCAATGCAGGGAGAAGGACTGTGAGATGCCTGCCCTGGGAGAGATGATGCTCCCAGGCTCCCACTGTGTCACCTTTTCCCCTTTCATCTCCTTCAGACACTGCCGAAGGTCCCCTTCATTGAAAAAGGAATCCTCCAGTTATCTCAAATCAAGGTGTCCCCTGCTCGGTGTTTTTTACAGCATCATTTAAATCTCCGTCTCACCCACCCCTTTAATTTCATTTTTTGTACCTGTAAGGCTGCTGGAGCCAGAACTTACACTCCAGGATAATTTCTCGCTCTAAGGGATACAGTGAACTTCTTCACAATTTGC